GGTTTTACGGCTGATCACTGAGTCGGCCAGCGATTCATTGAACGAGCCGTATAACATAAATTCTGCAATGGATATTGATATCCAAAGTATAGTGAAAACACTATTTATTAGTGAAAGGAGTGAATTTATTTCCTTATGAAATTAACTCTTCATGAAACCAATACTCAGGAACTCACACAAAACAGACGCCATTTAGCACAGTAACAAGATCGGCAGTTTAAGATATGAACTTGTAAGCACAAAACACAAGATACTTCTCTTTTCAATATAAATAATTCTGCGCATCACCGCAGAGGACAAGGGCACGGGCAACAAGAACAATATCACCATCACCAATGACCAGAACCGGCTGATGCCCGAGGACATTGAACACATGGTTAACGAGGCCGAACGCTTCGCCAATGAGGACAAGAAGCTGAAGGAGCGCATCGACGCCCGCAACGAGCTGGAGAGCTACTCCTACTCCCTGAAGAACCAGATTAGGGACAAAGAGACGCTTGGTTGCAAACTGTCGTCCGATGACAAGGAGGCCATCAAGAAGGCCATCGAGGAGAAGATCGAGTGGCTGGAGTCTCACCAGGACGCAGATCTCGAGGACTTCCAGGCCAAGAAGAAGGAGCTGGAGGAAATCGTGCACCCCATCGTAAGCAAGATGTACGGCAGAGCAGGCGGCCCACCACCAGAGGATGAAGACGAAAAGGATGAGTTGTAAATCGTCCAGACTCTGTTTTCAGTCGCATGATGCCCTCGCCTCTCTAGGTTTACATATTGAACACACTGACATTTTTATACAAGACGGGCAAACGTAAAGACTGAAATCTCTTCAGGGAAAAACTTGGTGGGAAGAGTTAGAAAGTTGCATTTTTAAAGCCCATAGTATGGAATGTGTCCACACACTCTATACAATGTATTTTCCTAAAGTCAGGTATGCATCCTTTACTCTTAAATGTATCTTTGAGAATTTGATGTCTTGTAATGATTTGATATCTTTGAATTGACTATGTAATTGGCATAATACATATTTACCTGACTGATAATAAATTGTTATATTTGATTTATTCTGGGATTCCGCTTTTTGGGCTGGCGGGTGGATCCTTACATTAGCACAGTAACAAGATCGGCAGTTTAAGATATGAACTTGTAAGCACAAAACACAAGATACTTCTCTTTTCAATATAAATAATTCTGCGCATCACCGCAGAGGACAAGGGCACGGGCAACAAGAACAATATCACCATCACCAATGACCAGAACCGGCTGATGCCCGAGGACATTGAACACATGGTTAACGAGGCCGAACGCTTCGCCAATGAGGACAAGAAGCTGAAGGAGCGCATCGACGCCCGCAACGAGCTGGAGAGCTACTCCTACTCCCTGAAGAACCAGATTAGGGACAAAGAGACGCTTGGTTGCAAACTGTCGTCCGATGACAAGGAGGCCATCAAGAAGGCCATCGAGGAGAAGATCGAGTGGCTGGAGTCTCACCAGGACGCAGATCTCGAGGACTTCCAGGCCAAGAAGAAGGAGCTGGAGGAAATCGTGCACCCCATCGTAAGCAAGATGTACGGCAGAGCAGGCGGCCCACCACCAGAGGATGAAGACGAAAAGGATGAGTTGTAAATCGTCCAGACTCTGTTTTCAGTCGCATGATGCCCTCGCCTCTCTAGGTGTACATATCGAACACACTGACATTTTTATACAAGACGGGCAAACGTAAAGACTGAAATCTCTTCAGGGAAAAACTTGGTGGGAAGAGTTAGAAAGTTGCATTTTTTGTCTAATTTTCACTTAATTCTGGTGGGATTCTGTCAGCCCGGTTTGAGACTCGATTAAGGGTGCGGGAAAAATTGATTGACATATGTATCATGATTATAACATCTAAATCGATTTTCTAAAGTGTTAAATTTCTTTAACTTCACTGTACTAGTTATTGGCATGTTAAGAGTAATTTGGCAGTAAGCCGCGAAAAAGGACTCAATGCAGTGTTCACTCTAACGGACACAGCCAAAGCGTGAGCACATTTCGCCTCTCAGATGCAGTAGCGAACCGTGACTCTTGAGCCTAGTCCCTCTCCCCCTACTC